ATTTCTCTATAGGTTAAATAACCTCTATATGAGCAAAACACTTTGAAATTCTTCTGTTCACTATTTAAATCCTCAAAAAGTGATTGAAATTAATTCCAGTTCTTGGAAATGTTTACCAATTAATTCATGGGATTAAACGCCAAGAAAAAACTGGAAATCCCACAAACAGGTTAATGATAAAACCAAATTTAATTTCGCATAATAATCAGAATATTAAATTTCGGATGAACGTTAGGTCATCGGGGAAGTAACTGTAAACGTTTCTTGCGCTTTATCCGTCAGTTAAAATTAATGTCTGTCCCACAAACCTAACTTTTCCCATCTATCAAAGAGAATGACGAAAAACTTGTAGCGTTTTTTTGCTTACAAACGTAATTAAAACAAGAACTGCGGTTTAAATTAATGTTGCGTCATGTGTATCAGTAATGTCAACAACTTAGTGAAAAGTGAAAATTTTCATCAATGCTGTTATTGGTTCATCACAGGCAGCTGCTAAATTTGTAAACCAATAATCAGAACACCTTTGTTTCATGATAAAAGTATCAGGAGCCTCGCTCCTAAATTTGCCACTTCTGAGCGATAACTTTCTTGAAACTCAAACAATATTCGTGGTATGTCTGAGATATCAATATAGAACCTCCGTTGTCTTTTGATCAACTATGGAGTTTAGCGTGCTATTTACGTTTTTAACTTGGACTGTAGTGATGACTTATTTGACGTTTGGTATCGGTGAGTTGCAAACTGCGAAACATTTTTAATTTCCAAAGTCATCCTCCGTGCGTGCAATTTCGAACGTATGTTTAGTTTTCTCGTTTCCCTATTCCAGTCATAACTGTTCATAACTGTCTGTCCAGGTGCCTGCGGGAACCAATTTAGGCAACGATTCATATTTCCGGCGTCCAACCAAAACGAAAAACCCGAACTCAACATCAATGACTGGGGAATTTCTTGGGTAGAAATTAAAGGGGAAATGAACAAAAGGGTATTTTTATCGAATGCCATTTAGAAAATCAAGAAATTGGTCATGAAAGAAAGTAAATAATTGCGGATGCAAAGGAGAACTTCTACTTTTCTCCAAGCTTATTCAGGAGAAGTATTTTCTAATTGCGAAAGCACTGGGTGGGGCATGGATTCCGAAGGTCTAAGGTTCAGTTCCACAAGGGAACTCAGAAGTCTTTCTTTGTCCTACGTTCGTGACAAGGTAAAAAGATATCTTTAGTATATATTTTAACAGTGGACAGTGTTGAAAGCGTAATCTAATATTCACCTCCAAGCAACTTGCGCTGAATTTGCGCCCGAAAAAAGTTGTAATCGTTGCAGGAATAAATGAGTTCATGTGAGTTAAATCATCTTTGCGATGCGCTTTATCATCCGGCTTCGAGGCTCGGTAAATATGTATCACTAGCCACCTCCGCTTCGGTGAAAAG